GTGACTGCTTTTATCAGCTTGAGATGTCCTGTTGCCCTATCAAATGAAGGGAAGCTGTGAAGGTGGGGGGAAGTGGAATTGATGGCTGGGCAAGAAATCCCATACTGGTCATTTTATCGACAACCTACTACTAATGACAAGCAGTTTCACTTTAAACAGGAGCCCAGCAAACTGGACCTATGACAAACAGCTCAGTTGTGTGAGAGGTTGCAGTAGTGCAGAGAAAAGATGTTAAAGAGAAGGGACCAAATTTATAGAGTGGCAAAATAATGGTGGGGTTTTTTTCTACATGGGACTTTTTTCCTACTTTCTTTTTACCCAAATAAAGCAAAGTTGAAGATGGAATGGAGCTAGAATTGCAGCAGCAGTGAAGATAAAGGATAAAATTATGACAAATATATAAAGCTGGAGGGAGATATTTATAGCCATTGAGATGTTTTGAAGGGAATTTAATGACAGGCAACAAAAGACTTTTGCTGGAAGACTGATTCTTTTTGCTTCACTTCCCATCAAGAGAAAAGCTACCTGGAGGGGGGCTTTCTAGGGTGGAGATGAGACGGAAGATAAACAGGTAGGAGGCAGAGGGAGGGGGAAAGTAGAAAGAGCCTTCCTTGTGGTTGCTTTGGTTAATGAAAGTAGAAAAACAAGCAAAGAGAGTCCACAAACTGGTTGGCAGGTGGATGCACAGCTCTTATGAAGACAGTTTAGCACCGAAGTATGGACTGTCTGGGGGCACTTCACCTTATCCAAAGGCAAAGGGTCTCCAATTATAGAAGGAAGCTTGATTTCTAAGTGACTGCCGCACATTTCAGTACGTGTTTTGTGAGCCTAAATCAAGGTTGTGTGGATTAAACTGTCCCTCTGAGTTTTTATTGGAGGGTGTTGCTCAATTTCAAAGTCTTTTACAGCCTGCAAAACATCATTGTCATTTATTCAAATGTCTTTGAAATCCTCACCCATTATCAGAGCATTTTGCAGAAGGCACAATTACGTCCCGAAGTATGGTTGAACAGGCTGCATTAAATGGATGACAACTTCCAATCCTCTTCAGTAAGTAACGGTTCCATTTCCCTGAGGTTTGGATTTTTTCCCTTTCCATTTGATATTGCAGGCCAGAGAGCAGTACACATTGCTACCAATCTGCATTTAAATGAAGCAGACAGCCAGCTTTGATTTGCTTCTGTTCCTTCCCGTCTACACAAACGGGCTTGCATTAATCATATTAATAAAAATGGCATTAAAATTACCAAGTTTTAAAAAGGCACATGACAGTGATATTCCCCACCAAGTTATAAGTCATTGTGCATGCATATTAATTAAAAATAGTCCAAGATTTTAGTAAAAGCTCAAAGGAATGACATTTTTTCCTGTATGTTGCTTTTAATTTGGAAAGCTCCCTTGTAATGCAAGATGTATCCTGTCCTAATGCAGTTCTCTAATCACAGTGTGCTTTAATTTTGATAGATGACCCCCAAATGCTTTAAATCCACTAAGATTTGCAGTAATTAGAGTGATTCTTTTAATACTTTCTCCCTGCGCTACCCCTGGTGACATCCATCCATCATCAGATGGATTTGTTTACTCATTCCCCTTCCAAAAAAATGACAAATCGAGTAATTTGTGTTGAGAGCTTCTCCTTGTTGCTACGTAGAGGGAGCATGCGATCATTCATCTCAGTCCGGTCCCTGCTCGTTTGCTTGGGGGATTGGGCTCCCTAGAAGAGCATGTTCTTGAGAGACGTTCACAGTTCTTCCCCTTCTTCCCCCAGTCTTCAAGCAGGAGCACTGCCCGAACAGGAGTGCAAAAAGAGTCACCTCATCCATCCGGGCGCCTGCCAGTGGGAATTTGAAGCATGCAGTAGAATTAACTAGGCACGTTCCATGTTTCCCGCTGCATTTTCATTGTGATGCTTCCTTGCACACACACAAACCTAGTTTATGTCTTCAGTACAGAATATTTAGGAACAGTGGTTGTACAAAACAAGAAAAAGCATTGAGGATGCCTATCTCCTGTCGCCTCCCCAAACCCGGTCCTTGTCTGTCCTCATCTCTCTCCTTGCCTGTCCTCGCTAGAGCAGCCCGTCCTTTCTCAGTAATTTCTCTGCCTTGCTGATGATTGCCGCTCTTCACCCAGCCACTTCCCCTGTCCTGTGCTGCTTTCTCTTTCACCAGCCTCCCTTATTCTTTCTGGTCCGAATTGGCCTGTTTAGCCTGCTTTCTCAGGCATTTGCTCTCTCCTCTCCTCTCCTGCTCCTCAGCTGCTCCGCAGGTTTTCGGTATCTCCCTTACTTTCTAGAATACATTTCCCCCTCCTTTGCTATTTGTCACCTGCCCCTCTCTGCTCCCTGATGTGTCCGATGGTGTTGCTCTATAGCATTTCCTCCTATCTCCCCTTCAGATCCCCTCTTTCTAAGGTTTCCTCCTCGTCCCTGACCCCCAGCCACCTCTTTGCAGCCAGAGGAGTACCGAAGGGTAGCGTGCTCTCATGCCGTAGTGCAACAGGCTGCTTGCCCTCAGATGCACCGCAGCTCTATCAATGCATTAGTGCAGGCAGAGGCTGGAAAGCAGCAAGGAGCAGAGCTGGCAGTTAAGCAGTAGCCGCCAGCAGCAGAGGAAGCAGCAATAACCTTGCCTCATGGGGGACGGTGGCCAGAGAAGCAGGCTGTAATCCAGCAGGCACATGTGAGCGAGATCTGCAGCTCCGTCAGACTGATGCAGGAGAGAAGAGTGCCCATCGGGGATAGGGCCCTTGCCTTTCTGAAAGCACAGCGTTGGCTGGGCTTCTGCTCTTTCATGGCTGGCTTTACCCTTTATTCAAGAGGTGACAAACCCCCCACATAACAAACAATACGTGAGGTCTGTACCACCGCTTGCCAATGTCTGGATTTAGGCAGTGAGCCCAGGAGGGTCCTGACTTAAATAAATGGGGGGGAAATGTTTCCTTCCTGGGCAGGTTAATAATCAGATCATATTAACAAGTAAAATTTGATTAGGCTTCTGATTAGGAAAGAGAACGCAGGAGTTTGAAGCTTGTTGTGTCAACAGAACAGATTAGCTTCAGCCTGACGTTCTGCTTTCAATAAGAACCTGGTAATGAAATTATAGCGTCTGACTTCCCTGTGAGGCTCTGAACATGAGCAGACCTTTGAGTCAATTGCTAAAGAGCACAGGCTATGCACTGGGACTTGGACTTAGCAGCCAGGCAGGAGGCTCAAATCATTTAATTGCATCAGAAGGTAGCAAGAACGGATGAGGGAAATCTTTGCTGTTGTTAAAGAACGAAGTAAAACATGCTTGGAAAAACCCGTTGGGTTGCTGTTTGCCTGAGGTGGGCACCCAGAAGGGCGGGCAGCTGTCCCAGCTGGAGGTCCCTGAGCTCCCTGCTCTGCAAGGCTTTAGTTTGCAGGCTACGGGAGCATGAACCACCATGGGCTGCAGCCCAGTTCAGTGCTAGAGAGGTTCTGAATGCTTCCGATGGTTGAACCTGCTTATTGGAAAGTGTTGGTGAGGAGGGTCACCAGCACCTTGGGAACAGGCCAGTTACATGCAACACAGTGTTTGTTACCTGGAGTTCGTGTTTCCACCGAGAACAGGCTTTAAAAGGAAAGGATAAAGTGATTCCTGGTTTTCTTTGGGTACTTTCAGCCAGGGCTTAGAAACGACTTGCAGATCTCCCCATACTAAACTGTTGTCATTTTGCCATTCAGACCAGTGTCGCAGGCATTCAGTGTGTCAACTGTTAAAACCCTCCTGTAAGTGCCTAACGTATTTAGAAGTATAAATCATGCTTGGCTTGCTTTGCTCATCAGAATGGGATCCGGTGATGGTGTGATTAATCAAAGCCTGTTTGGCATCATTAGGGGGAAAAGAAACCTATTGAGACTGCCTTGCTCTCCAGGCGCCGAGTCTGTACTGGAAGGCAATGATCTCTGAGGTGAGGGAAGAGGCACTGCTAATTCAAGAAACAAAACTCCTCCACCTGCTGTCAGGAATGGCTGAGGATCAGAAGGGTGAGGTGGTGATGACTGTTTGGTCTTCATGGCCAATGAAGTTCACTTCAAAGCCCCATTAATGGTGACTGTGGTGTTTTACACTGTACCTGAAAGTCTCCCCTGCCCCAGAGATGTTCCAGTGGGACAGTTTCTCCCTTGGAGCAGCTCATTTGCACCAGCTCAGGCACCAGAAGTGTGAGAGGGTGAGCATTGCTCTCTGCACAAAGCAGTAAGCTCTGCTTCTGCAGGCTGCTGCAGGCTCCGGTGCAACTGGCTTTGAGTGCTCCTCTCCGCAGTGCTTTGCCTTGCAGCATCCCTGGCAGAGTTAACAATGCAACTTTAATTGGGGAGCCAGGGGATAGGAGCAGAACAACATCCCTGCTGCCTCTTGCTATTTCAGTGCTGTGGATTTCAACCAAATCATTTCCTGTGCTGGATTACGGCTGGGCTGCCTCTTTCTCACACAAAGGATTTGTTTGTCCGTGACCTCTATGGATTTTATCCTCCCACAGATCACTGAGTTAACCTACGGGAGATGCTCTGCTGGAAGGTCAGGTCTTGTATCCCTAGGTCCCCGCAGGAAACCTGCAGACTGTCTGAAGCTCACACTAAGGGCAGTGCTTTGTGATCCATCAGCTAAGAGAGTGAGCTGGGTGGTGTACGTGAACAGAAGCAGTCTGGCAAAACCAAGCTGCTCCCGCGTGCACACTCTTCATGCAGAAGGTAGGAAAGTGCTTGCCCTTAACTGGAACCAGGTAATGGTACAGAGCTCGAGTAGTGGTTTGTCTTAGAGGGAATGTAAGTTAAAGGTAACTGGCGTGAGCCAGACAGCCATAAAGGAGTTTGTCTTGCAAGGCCACCCTCAGGTAGGTAACTGTACCAGTACTACTGGATGAATCTGATACTGCTTCAGTACTGACAGCAAAACCACTGAACTGGGGTACTGATGTGTAAGAGCAAGCCAAATAATGTAAACTGGTAGCAGTAGTCTGTCTGTTAGTTAGATTTTGATTTATTAATTATTAGTGATATGTTGATTAAGCAATAAGCATTACAGTCCCCATCAGTTGTGTCTCAGGCCTGCAATGTAAAGGAGGAGAGTCAGACTCTGGGGCAACAACCTAGCAGGTAATTCTCCTGAATTTGGAGCCTTGCATGACTGTGCCTCTGTAGAACCCGAGGCAGGAAGTGCTGTAGGCACATCTTTAATATGAGCTTGGTTCCTCCTCCTCAAGGGCTCTTTCACCCCAGTCTGTGATCTTTTGAATGCTTCCTTGAAGCCGGTGTATTTAACTTAGAAGCTCTTTTTTAGCAGTTGTAGCTCATCAGTTCCTACGTGGTCAAACTTGTCCTGGTCTCTCCTGTGTCCTGGTCAATGTTTTGGTGCCAGTTAGCTTTAGATCACGGTGCCTGTTTTGGAGAAGGGGGATGCAGGTTTTGACTTGGACGTTTATGAGGAGCTTTCCCCGTCTGTTCGGATCCAGAGCTGCCTTTGCAGCCAGGGCGGCAGCCTGGGGTTTTTGAATTCCCAAGGAAGTTACAGACTGGTTTCGTTTCTTTTTGAGGAAATTCTCATTCCTGTTTTCATCTCCTCTGAATCATTTCTAATGCTTCTTGCTCGGCTGGGATGTCTTACGAGCGTTTTCATTGCTTGCTCCATCTTGGTTCCTCAGTTCCTGAGGGGTTCTCGCTTACCACCTCTGTCCTGCTGTGTTAGTTTTCACATCATTAGCCAGGACTCGGTGTTCCTGCCCACGTGGATGAGCCCCAGTACCGATGTGGGTGTGCTGTTTGTGATATCTTCACACGAAAAGTCTCTTCAAGGTGGTGGAAAGAGAGAGGCTGTTCTCCCACTCGGAAGTTCTCTGGCCTCTGCTGTTTACTATAGCCACATTCACCGTTTCTTTGGCCATGTCTCCTCCATGTGCCCAGCAGGCGACAAATGGCTATGCTTTGTATTCCAAGTGGATTTATTAGGGATGCTGAGTAGTGCATTTGTATGCAGGATGACTTATTATACAAGACTATACTATAGCCTTGTGTCAAGATCTAGTCGAAAGACAGAACTGAGTGCATTGAAATATCATTTGAGAAGCATTTATTAGTTAAATGCACTTGGGTACATTTCCTCGTGTGTAAGTTCACATAAACGTTGTTTGTTTGTTGTATTGGAAGCTGAGCTGCTATTATAACAGCAGTATTATGTGCTGAGGAAGCGGAGCTGTTTGGGTTTGGTCACCATATCACTCAGAGCTGAAGAGGCTTAGCCTGCCCAGCCCGAGTGTTTTCACAGGTCACAGTAAGCTTTTCTTCCTCTCATTTCACCTCTGAACTGGGAGCTGAATTGTACAGCTCAGAGAAGTGCTAATGTCTTAAAAGGTGTCTTGATGCCTGCTGCTGTGGCAAGGCTACCTTAGTGCTTCAGGTTCTGCTCCAGGTGCTTCTGCTGGTTCAGCCATTAGGCTTTCTTGGAACTTTGGAAGCAAATACATCCTGCTTAATGCCAGCTCTCTGCGTGGTTAAAATTGCTCTTCAGCATTTAAATCTCTGTCCTGCTGCAAGTGGAACAAGATGGATGTGTTAATTCGTTGGCTTTACCTCTGCCCAATACTATGGATTGCTCCCTCTCTGGAGCTGTAGAGATTTGGAGGCTTCCTCTGCTGGAGCTGAAAATGGCCACTAAGGGTAGCAGCTTTGTAAAAGGTAGCTCAGACTGCCTTGGGATCCAGCTATTAGCACCTTTTAGCTAGTGTAAGTGTAGAAAAGCATATACATTATGAGGAGAGAGCAAATGTTTGAATAAGCACTCCAGAGAGAGCCATAGAGGCAGCATTAGCATCTAGAGGTAGCACTGCATCTAAGGACTACACAATTTGCACTTGAAACGACTTAGCTGTCACTAAAGACAGATCACTTTCAGTGAGTTATGCTCCTATGTACTGGCAATTTCAACCTTCCCTTCTCTCTTATGTTTTTTAAAGGACCAAAGGATTGATTTTCAGGCAGAGGCAGTGTGGCAGGAGGTGGTCCACCAGAGTTATGTTCTCAAAAGCCTATAATCCCTGCTGGCTTTTGCTGCCAGACTTGTTGCTCTTACCCCTGCCTACGGTAGGTGTGAAAAACCTCTACTTCTCCACTGCCATTCCTGATAAACTTCGGCTTAGGAAAAGCTGGGATCTGGCACTGTGCAGAAGCAAACCCAGGCTGCGCCGCAGAAAGCATCACGTCAAGGTACAGCAAGTGGGAGTTGTTAGAGAGACATTGCACATAGAAGTGGAACTACCTTAGTCCATATGCTGACCCTGATTTTACCAGGAAGTCTGTCTGATCTGATTTCCCTATCCTGTGTCTTTCTGTTTAGTAACTGCAGTCGCTTTGGCCGCTTGCGTGTGTTTCTTAAATTCATGGGGATTAGTGTGACCTTTCTTATTTGGAGTAATGAAAACAGAGAGCTTCGTATCAGCATCACCAAAATTGAATTTGTGGAAATATTTTGTCTATACGAGCTTTTATTTGATTCTTTAATTTATTTCATTTCCTGAATTTAGATTCAATTATGTGTGTTCTTCCTTTTAAATGTATTATGATGTTGTCCATGCTAGGCTAGCTCTTCTTGTCACAGATGCAAGTATTAATGAACTCTTGGATCTGGTGTGTAGACATGACTGACCGCTTACAAGACAACCTGAATTTGTATTTGCTTTCTAGCTCTGGAGAAAACAAATTGTCATCAGTGATGCACCTACGCAGGGGATGACTTGGTTGCTCAGGTGAGAAGCTCGGGGGGGGAAGATTGAGGTTAGTGAGTGAGCAGCATTGGTCCTCTTCTGGAGTTGTAGTTGGCTTTTTTTATTATAAGCTTTATTACACAGAGAGGTTTTTTGAGTGAGGTTGAATGTAGGTTTGTATTGAAGCAGGGACTGTTTTTTTCCTTAAAAAAGGAAATAATTGGAAATGACTGTAAGTAAATACAACTTAATTTTAGGGCAATAGGGTGTTCCTTTCTTCCTTCTGCTCTCTCACGTCCAGAGCTGGGCAGGATGCAATAAACCCTTCCATCACGGCTACATGGACTGAAACAGCTGGAAAAAGATCACATCCTTAAATGTAAGACTTGTGCTGGTATTCCAGTGCAAAGATTCCTAATGTTGTCTATTTAATATTTAATTAATATTTAATATTAATAATATATTTAATATTCTTTCTAGCTGTAGGAGTGACAAGAAAAGATTTCATGCAATTTTTCCAAAAAGGGGGAACTCCAATGGATTCCAGGACAACGGCTATGGACATGCAGAAGCCCAAGCATGGCAAGGTGGGTATGTTTCTATTTATCTTTCTTCCTGCTGCACAGCCCATCTGGTGGTTATAGTGGTGTTAAACAACTGCTGGGGTTTATCTCAAGGTGCTTTGGCATTTCTGAACTAAATGGCCCATAAATAAATGATGGTGGGGCAGCAGAGAATCTGTCTATACAGAACAAGGACCAGGACAGGGAAGAGGGGATGATGGAAGGCGCAGCTGTATTAGCAGCTGGAACATGAGAACAGGCAAAATATTTGGGGGATGAGTGTCTGATAGGGAAGTACAGCACTGTTTCCTTACTAAGGAATAAAATTTCCTAATACTTTGTCAGGCACTACCTTTTCAAGCTGAAATCCATCACAACATCAAAGTGAATGCCTTGATGCTAATAGAATAAATGTTTCTAAATAGAATGTAAACGAGACGAATGTATGAATTAGAGGACTTTTAAAGAATTTCGAGTGGCTGGGTGCATGGAGTGAGCCTCATTTCCAAAACTGGCTTTTTGACACGATTTGATAACAAGTAATAACCTTAGTTCCTGATTCTCTTGTAATTTGACATGTACCAAATCGTTATTAAATGTGTGTGCTGCATCATGCATGAAGCACACTCAGTTAAGGGAGAGGTAGTGGTGGCCTCGTTGGTTTATTTGCAACCCACCTTCCTCCTTTCCCCATGGAAGGAGGTGGTGCCCCCCCCTCTGGCACACCACCGTGAGGGAATGCTGAAGGCAGCCTTGCTTAGGCAGTGAATTATTGGTGGGAGCCTTTCAGGGGTTAGGAGAAGCATGTAACTAGAAGTCATGTACCTCCTGTGTTCCCTCCATCACCTTCTGCCTGGAGAAGAAACCTGTTTGAGCAGCCTGTATTGGGCAGTTCTTGGAAACAGACACCTTGATGGAGACACCCAGAACACATCTGCACAGATGCGGCTGACACAGGAGGTCATGATCTCATTTAATGTCACTGCTTAATCTTAACTGAGGTAATTACATACATATGGCCGGCTAACCATGACATCAACAGGAGGGTATCCGGCTACATGTGTACTACAAGTAAATCAGATTTAACTGCCACAGCCAGCAGCTGAGGATATCGGGTGAATACCGGATGTTTCCTGACAACATTTATCTAAGGAACGTACATGTATTCATCCTCCGTTTGTCTCTGTGGGCTGGTACCAATAATGATAAAGTGGATACAGAGTTACTTATTTGCATATATATATATTATTTCAAAAGGTGACAGGATGAAAACTCCCTGCCCCGGAAAGGGTGTAACGTATTGCCCCAACCAGCTGTGGTGCTGGGTTGATGTTGGCGAGTCATGGCTAATACAGACCATCAGGTGGGGCTTGTTTGCTTTACTGGCAATCAGTCTGGTGAGCATTTAACACTGGTGACTGCTCTGACCACCTGCTAGCCCCAGCAGCACAGCAGCTGCAGTGTGTAAAGCCTGAGAACAGAGGCTGTTCTGTAGTACTTGGAACCAGTACAGAACGTCCCCAGCGCTTTGCCTTGGGGCACGTCAAACCTAAGTAAGTACTTGTGTTTCTCCAGAAGGCCTCACCTTCCGGCCACGCCATTATCACGTTACTGTGCAAGTGTTTTAATAGCTGTTCTGAGCAGCCTGGTCTGGTGGGAGGTGTCCCTGCCCATGGCAGGGGGTTGGAACTGGATGGTGTTGAAGGTCCCTTCCAACCCAAACCATTCTATGGTTCAATATCTATCACAGTAGAGCTATAGTTGTTTGGTATTTATTATTACTTCTGGAACCGAAGAGTTGCTTGGGAAGCCCGCAGGGTATTTTTGCATGCTGCTGCCTTTGCAGACAGACCCATTAGGTGGTTCCACACTCAATGCACTTTCCCATACAGCCTAAACAGACACCAGAGTTCCAACCTTAAAACAAGAGGATCAGCTCTCACCCCCCGTTCCTTGCTGTGCCTTTAAACTGTTTGTGAGCAGGGAATCTTTTTCTCCCCATGTGCAGTCAACTGAAGTTGAACTCTAGCTGTGTAACAGACTCAGATGTGGGGGGACCCCCTAAGATTCATTGCTAGGGTACTTTGTTAACCAGGCCATGAGCAGAGGCCTGTGCAATGAGCTCTGGGGAGGTTTCACGTGCCTGCCAGGCATGTGCTTTTCTCCAAGCGAGCGCTGATGCCTTCCTCTCCCTGACCCAGCTCCATGTGAAAGCCCATACCCGTACACCCCCACTGAGCCCCCCCATGGCTTTGCAGGGCTTTTCTTCCCCGCTGGACCCTACAGAAGCAAATCTGGAGGACTGGAGTCCGCACTAACGCGAGGTCTGGGTAAGTGCCCTCCCTTGTGCTGTTCACGCGTGCTCTTGCAAATGGAGATTGCAGACAAGCGGGTGAAGACATACTTCGGGTTTATTGTCGTTTAGGCATGGATAGAAACATTAACTCTTTTGCACTCTTGGTTCTTGAAACGTGCCCATAGTGAACTCGGAGCGGTGAAAAACCCAGCTCCCAGGACTGGCAATTTAAAGTGCATAGGAGATCTAGCAGAATCCCAAAAGGCGAGGAGTGGTTTGATTTCCTTTTCCGTAGCTGTGGAAGGTAAAGGACTTCTTTCTTCTCCTCTCCCCTGTATTCCCCAGACAGCGGTGTGAAAATTTTCAGCCCTTCCCTATGCTTTCCCTTTTGATCTTCGGAGGTTTCTTCTCTGTATTTAAGGACTATTTGTAGTGTTATCAACACAGACAGGTGATGTTTGCACGCTCCTTCACAGGACTCGGTTACAGCTTTTCCTGTTCAGAGTCATGCCCACTGCATCAGTGGTGGCTGTTTCCTAGAAAATACGTATCACTTGGCAGTGTTCTCGCACCAAAAGATCCGTTTGTATAGAAAGTAACTTTTTTGTGTGTTCTCCTTTCATTTTGGAAAAACAGGTGCTTAAAAATTTTAGAATTTTTTTAACAAAATTCTAAAAAGAAAAGAACAAAATCACAATATTTACAGAGATAACAGAATGGCTCTGCCATGCAAAACAAATTACTTTGGTTCTTTTTTTTCCCCCATTTTACTTTGGTTTAAATATTGACCAAGATTGTAATTTTTTTGTCTTTTTTGCCAAATAAAACAGTAACAAATCAAAGTTTAGAGGCATATAACAGGATTTCCCTCTAATTATCTTATACAGCATAGAGTTTAAAGGACATCTTATGTATTTAATCCATGCCAATGCACTACAGGAAGCTTTTATTAAGACATCAGTCACTACTGCCCAGACATTTAACATTTTACAAATTTACAAGTAACAGTGTTTTCTTCCCCCTAAATAATGCAAAAGTGGCAAAATACATTTCCTAACGCCCTTCTTTTTATTTATTTATTTATTCTTTTTTGCCTACCACTCTATAAAAACTTACTTTTTCCCTGGGTATTTGTAAGTGGAAACCTGATGTTCTGCTTACTCTACTGCTCCCCTCCATCAAAGCTGCCTGTTAACTTTCTTTCAGACTCATCTTCTGCGTAAGATGAAACTTCTCTCCCTTACGTACAACCTTCTGTTGGCCATTTACCCTAAAACTTCTCATCGGTCCCATTCTAAAAACTCCCTCAAGCATAAAACATGTTTATAAAGTTACAAACTTGAATGTAACTAAAGATACATAGACATTTCATTGTTACAATTATATGTACTGTTCGATAAATTAGGTACCAGTTAAAAACACTAGAATTATCTCAAGGTGCATTCAATATCTGTAGCATAGTTAACAAAAACACACAAAAAATATATATATATTCTATTTTTGTGGAAAAAAAATGCAGCTTTGATATGACCACTTCTTAAAAAAAGTTTCCAATTCTGACTGGTATCGTTCTGAAATGAAGGAAAGGTACAGTACTTTAAGGCAGCGGATAACATAAAGGAATCAAAACTAATCCAGAATTCCAGTTCCTGATCCTAATTCTAACATGAAAGGTGACTGTTAACGTATCGATCGACTGTGTCGTGCTCTAGAAGAGAAGGATGATTAGCCACCGTCTGTACGTAGGCTAGGAATGTTCCTCGTTTTCCTTGCTTTCATACCCAGACTTCTTTGTGGAAACTCTTTGTTCCCTTTCTGTCTGCTCAGCTTTGCACGGTTTTTTAAGCGTTCACTTTTATTACCAATTTAGATTATTCTTGTCACAGCTGTCAGTCACCCTTCCCCGTCACTGTGATTTCAGGGAGTGAAAAAAGGAGTTTGACATTTTCCTGTAAGACAGTCTTACGCTCTAGGTACTTGCTACCAACCACGCAGAGGCTTCACTGATAACAATCAGAATTAGACATGTACCTGCTCAAAGGGTGTCATAAAAACAACCGAAATAAACCCATTACACTATACATCAGATTAACAGCAACTCCCAGAACAAAGCCTTACAGTGTATAAAAATAGCTACGTAAAAAATTTACATAAAGGCAAACAAAAAGAAATCTTCAGTGCAGACATTTACAAAAACATATTTCAAACAGAACACAACATGGTGACCTATTACCATGGCTGTTGCCAAAATTAGTTTCTTGGGGTATTTTTAGCTTGAGATAATTGTGTCTAAAATCCTTTGAAAGCTTGGGAGTATGGTCTGTTTAATACTCGAACCATGAATAGCTGTCACTTCTTCGTATATGTTTAAATACAATCCACGTTCATGCTTCAATTGATCTATATGTATTCTCTGCAAACGGGAAAGATAAAGCCACTTAAACATTTTGAAGTGCGTTAACCAACTTAACTACTCGGTATAGAACCTTCAGATAAACAGCTACGTGAACAGTACTTTCTTCTGTCAGTGATGAGAATACGTGCTTTCATGATAAAAAGAGCTGTTGCAGTATTACTCCTGATAAATCCAGTAAGTTTATTTGGTAAGTAATGGATTTATGTCCATCTCATTTTATGTAGATCTATGGATCTGAAGAAATAATGTAATTAGAGTAAAAGATTGCACCAAAGGCACACGATTTCAACTCCTGTGTTCAATAAATACCCCCAGTTGGCTTCAGCTCCATCACCTCACTCCAATATTGCCATGTTACAGAAGGTACCAGGTCCAAAAAAAAAAATCACAAAACAAGTCCTAACTAAAAAGATGACAGAATTTTCCCATGGAAAAATTGCAGGAGAAATACTGGGTATTTACACAGCAACTCTGTCAGAATCCAAATTTACTTCTATGCCGCTTTCAAATCATTCACAGGGCATAATTTGGTATTCTCAATCCCCTTTTCCAAAGTAGTAAAACTAGTAATTTCAGACAATGCTGACAGATTTAAATGATTGAGAGCTGCCCTTATTTAAATAAGGAACTCTTTAATGTAAATATGGAATGCCATAACTCCACTACATGCTTAAGATCAGGACTGTCTACAGCTTTCCTGTTGAGGCACCCACAATGAAGAGCCACAGAACTTGCACTACTCTCATTTTGCAGAACAGCTGTTGGCTAATTCAAGAAGCCTGTAGCTGGTTACCTGGTTTCCACACTCTTTTGGTACCACAGTGTTAATGTAAAATGGCCTCAGTTGGACAGAAAAATGGTCCAAAGCCTTACTTTGGGTATCTAAGAGGAGAGATGCAGTTGTAGCACGTACATCCGCAGCACTGGTGTATATATATGTGAACACCGGGTGGTGCTGTCGATGCTTCGTAGTGCTCCTGAACCTCGGCATCTACCTAATTATTTGTTAACAGCTTATTTTATAGGGATCCCAGTTGGATCATACTGTTTCTAACTTAATATACAGTGTCTCTTTCCAGGATAAAATAGTATTAGTATGTGAAATCTTGAGTAAGAATTATTTTATTCTAAGGCAAGTTTCATGCCTTGTTCAGTCATGATGAATAAAGCTGACCAAGGACTTGGAAACAAATTTGCTTTCAGTATGGGAAGAAGGTTCCTGTGAACTTTTCAAGCCGTAACTCAAAACCTTCTAAAATATACCTACACACCCCCTTCATATCTGTACACACCCGCACGTATACCGCAGTGATGCATTATACAAATCTGGATTTTCATGTCCCCAAATCCATGGTTAAAAATAAAGCCAAGTACTAAGTTAGGTCTAAATATCAGGCTTCTCTAATATATACATATGCAGGTATGAACTCTTAACTGGCTGGGGGCTCCAGTCTATCTGTCCTAATACTCCACCACTCAAAAATCACTCCAGTGCCTAACCTCTGAAAGGTGAGCGCTAGACTCCGTGCTGCAACTGTGATCACTAAAAAAGAAATGGTGGACAAAGAGATGTTAAATGCTGCAGTATGAAACGCTTTACCTGGGGTGATGACTGACACGTTTTCTCTTAAGTTTCAGATTTATGATTGTTTTCTTCTAGTTTTTTGTTTTCTTCTATATTCCCAAGATCTTTGTCTACATGTTTTGATGCTGTCCTGTAATGAAAAAGTAAGGTCATTTTTGCATGCCTACAGCATTTTGCTCCCTTCTGTCTCCTTCCCTCTCTGTTCTGAGCAGAGCAAAAGGCTTGCATATGTCTGTAAACAGGTCAATAGCATCAGTTCCCCTGCTGGCATTAGCACCACAGGAAGCACTGCCGCAGGGTCATGTATTTGGGTTTGATTTACTTCTTGAGGAATTCAGAATTATTCTGAGCTAGCATTTAGTAAGGTTAAAGCAGTTGTGCAGACCCACGTTTCCTGACAAATTAACTGTGTAGCTTGTTTCGATAAACAAGAGTCTGCTTTAACGTACTGAACTGTTACAAGCGTGGCTAGGGTATCTTGATCACCATAGCAGTCTTGTACTTGCAGGAACTGACTTTCAGAGCCGGTGCCAAACGCAGGCTCTATAAATGTGAAGAAATTAATGAATTTTCTGGAAACAACAGGAAAATCACCCACTCTGGCTTCTCGATCTGCGCCGGCTGTGACTGGCAAGCGCTGGGTAAAGAAGAGACTGTGTAAATGTCGAGTCAGAAAAAAAGAGGTATGCCTCACTGAGAATAGCATGTCTTCCTTAATGCGAGCGGTGGGTATGAATTAGAGAGTCAAGTGCTTAGTTTAGCTTAGCACAATAAAACCACAACGCCATTCATTTAACTCCCGAGAAGCCTCACTGTCTGCCAAGGTGAAAGATTCCCGCAGTGCTGCGATAACGTTTTGAAGGCCACAAGTTTTACAATGTAAACGGGCGAATCCTTTGTGCCGAAACACATTATCCTACGTGCCATTTTTTTTTTCCTATGGATAATTTGTTTCCCCTACAGAAAAGTAATGTCAGTTGTGACAGATTCATGCATGTGCTCGCTCTTGTTTCAGGGTGAAGACCTCTAGTGACACTGACTTGCAAAATACAATGACGACACAGGTTAGCAAGATCGTATGACATGTCACACTGACACCATGCAGGTATGCACCTCCCAAAATCGGAGGTTTTGCTAGAGGAGTGTTTCTGTGCGCATCCTCCATCTGAGCAAAGGCCGCTAGCAGCATCTAAGCACTGAGTGCCCTGAACTGAAGTAGCCTTGAACGGTGATGTTAAGAGAGTACAGTTCAGTCCTTGTCTCAGAACAGGTGCGAATGCACCTAACCCTTAACAACTCTTGGTGCACTGTGGAAATGCTGTTCTCTAGGCTGGGGAGCGGTGGAGCGCTAAGGGAGCATAGGATTTTGAGCCCCAAACCCCACAGATTACACTGAAGGGGACCACTGTAAAACAGTTTTGGTTTTAGTGCAGGTCATTTCCCAAGTGCCTGTAAGCTTAAATCTTTCAAAGCTGCATTTATCTTTTCCTACTGGGTTTAGAGTGCCTCTTTTATGTTTGTGTGGCTGACAGGAAGGTGAATGGGCTGAACAGCCACAGAAAGATCTGAACTCCTACTTATCGCAGGCTAATTTAGTTTTTAAAATGCTGAGATTGCATCATGAAGTATCTTGTTCAATTTCTATTCGCTTCTGGTATTCAAAACCTAAAACAAGTGATGTGCGTATGGTCGTGAGATGCAATGAAGAAGAAAATTCAGTGCTTTGGGATTGACCGTCTGTGATCTTAATAACCTTTCACAAATCTCTTTAATCCTAGTAGAAAACAATCTCACCCCTCAGAAATAAATCCCTTAAAAATAATAAAAAAAAGGGTTTTTTTTAATTAAAAAAAATGTTTGGTTTAGAGCACAGGATTTGGGGCTTGTCATATGGCTAGTGAGTCTTTTCCCTAAGCAAGTCTTACAAAATTAGAGACAGTAGGGAAAACGATGGAAAGATGAAAGAATCTGGACTCAGGCACCTACCTGAGCTGAGATGAGTTGGAGGCAAGAAAGCAGTATCATGCATGTCTGCCCTCATGTAACCACTTATGTCTGCTCTTGCAGACAAGAGAGTGGACTGGACAGGCTATTAGCACTGCTCCCTGCAATCCTTTTTTTGGCCTCTTATCAAGAGTTTCCCAGTGCCCAAAGCAGACTGACCTCACATGATGTGACACTTAACAGCAGAGGGAACTCTAACTGGCATTACTGGTCTTTGATTAGGTTACATTTTTTCAATGACTAAGCCTGGGGATTCTGCAGTGTTACCAGGTTTTGATTTTTGAAGTGTTCTATTTTAGTTTCTGCATTCAATGAAACTGTTCCCCTCACTAAATGTCACCTCTATTTTCCTAAAGCCAAAACTGCTGAAAACGGGACATTTAAAAGGCAGCACTCTGACTCTGAACGAGGCAGGTGATTCAGAACTCTTTTGGAGGATGGTCTATATGCTTGCTTGGAATGAGAGCAGCAGTAGGTTTTTATGTCTGACAATCGGATTTAGATTTTCAGTGCAGCTGTTCAATTCTGATGGGTTTGTGATCTTGCTGACTTCTTTTATTTTTATTCCCCAAATACTGATATCTAGTCATATTCACCACCTCAGCACAAGCAAATCTGCTGCCTTTTTTAGTGCCATCTAAATAGTGTTATGAAGAGACAGGAGAGTAATTCTGCGCTGAGTTGCAGCAGTGTGATCCATTGGCAGTGCTCTGCCAGCAGCAGAGGAATAGCTGACCCTGGCAGGTCACCAATCCTCAGAGCTCGACAGACGTGGCCTGGGTTTGTAACAGAGAAATGGCTCAAAATCGCTTCCTGAGGTGACTTGAGGCAGAGGAATGATGGTCCTTTGCCAGTTTAACATTCAACAACAGCTGTTCTTTATGGGTTTTGTGCATTAACTCCTATCAGCTTGCTCCATTTGCAACTCAAGAGTGACTTCCTGATGCAGCTGGGCAACACGGTCCAAATGGATAGAAATATTCCTGAGAATTTACCAAAAAGGGCAAGACAGCCCGCTTTGCTCAGGCCACTCACACGCTCTGACGTTCTCTCGAGCCCCCCGAACAGCCTATGTCTTAGCATGCTCTTGCCATGTTGTTCTGAAGAGTGAGAAGTTGGTTGCATGAACGTCAGTTCACATCTCTCAACTGTTTTGATTTTTGGGGGTTCTTTTAATTCATTTGTAAAACATGGATCAGTCTGAGCTCTTGCTGAAATTACGACTCGGATTTTACATTTATCTAAGCTTGCTCTTCAGGAAAATAATTCTCCTCAGGGAATCCTAATCAAAACCTCTCTGTAAGTAGCACCACAGATAGGTTTCCAGTTTTCTTTGGAGTGTATGCGTGTGCTGAGGGGCTGTTATTTTCATGGATTTTGTTCACGTATTGCTCATGGCGTTGTTTGGTTTTAATATAAAGACCGTTTTCCACCTCAGTTGTTTTGCCTGCTGTAGAGTACATACAGACTGCATATAGATGATGCAGAAACTGCCGTTGTGATTTAATTCCTCATTTCTTTTGTTCTCACAAATCTAGGCCTTCACCCCCGGCACTGTTTAAGGAAGATAACCGGCCGTGCTCTTTGTCCTCTGTTCCCCAAGTCTGTGATAATGACAGGTAAGAAGAATACACACTGGTGTTCTGGGTGCTGAAGCAAGAGCCATGCCTTACTTTCGAAAGGCATGTTAACACACTCAACTGCGTAACTGCAGAAAGCTTTCTAGGAGGTAATGGTCTTATACACCCAAATCTGGATTATTTCCAGCCTCTTTCTATTTACCCCCATCTTGCTTTCCACTTTCTCTCATTATTTTCAAATGTTCACCAGAAGGGAAAAAAAAGGCAGGGATATTAGAAAAATATTCCAGTCATCAAGAAACAAGCAATCATCTTTTAATTCATGCCACTTGTATAGAGTTGGCACATGAACTGATGCTTCAGAGACGTCTGTAACTACATCTTTTCCCTGCAAGTGATCGGCACGAAAATAGTACAAATGCTTGTACTAAAACATGCAGCAAGTTTCCACCCTCTTTGGCCTGCCACATTTAGATTCATTTGCTTATTTTCTATAAGGTATCAGAAAAGCAGAATTGTCAGGCTTCAAATGTTCAGTCTCAGAGACACTAATAACATCCTTGATTACTATGACCTAAGAAGAATATCAGGAGTTCGGTATGCTCTGAGTATGAACAATCCTAAGACTGCTGCTGTGCTTCTCTTTGCCCAGCTGAATTTTCCTTCATTGCATTTTAAACCACTTGCTCTAGGCTCAGTTGACTTAGGATTTGTGCCCCTCCAAGCCCAAGGATCAAAAATGGGACAAAGGTCCAGTCTACAGCTAAAACTGCCACGAACAGGGATACATGGTGCTGGACATAGTATTTTCTTCCGATATCTTTAATTTCTGTTGTACTCTCAGCTGCTTCTAGCAAGGTGCAAATTTCGTATGAGGGATTCACTGAAGATGAGTGTCCCAGAATCACTCAACTGAGGTCTGACACAAAAGTTTTTAGAAAGGTTGGGAATTCCTCAGTTCTATTCTGTTTAGCACAAATAAGTCTACAATATCCCTTATGGGAAAAGGAGCAATCTGTAGAAAATGTGTCTTTTTGGCCTTCTGCTCAGATGAAGGAGAAACATGGCATGCTGGGGTAGGCAGCCTCAACTCTTTATCCAACAGGGGCTGGTTACAGGATGTGGAATACACGAGTCCCTGATTTATAGGATAATCTCTGTAGTGAAAATCATGTGGCAGTAATTAGCTTTTGCATCAAGTACAGCTGAGGCAGTGAAGAACAATGTAAGTAAGCGATTTCTTGTGAATATACTCCAAGGCTACAGGTGGAATTCCTACTTAGCGTGGATGACAAGACAATAGAAGAGTATACAAACCACAACACCAATAATGAAAAAAAGTAATGTTTTTCTTGCCTCGGTAGACTTGGAAAGCTCTGTGCTGCTGCCTTCTCAGACTGTCTTTTGGCGTCACTTTGGGGACAGAGATTAGGTGAGTTACTGTTCGTGAGTGGCTTCAAAAAGTAACTACTAACTGTTGGCCTGTATGGAGGTGGAGGGGTTGTGATTAGTCACAAGCTGTGTCTATAGGTGTAAGGGGCTTTTTGCAAGGTCTACTTTGATCTCCAGATTATAATTCAAAATGAAAACTGTCAGACTAGATATTGACACTGCTTGCTCTTGCACGTATGGCGTGCTGAAAGCAGGGAGGATAACAACAGATCAGCTCAAATATATATACTGGAAACAGGAGATTTTCAGTGACTATGCATCAATTAAGGGTTTCAGTAGCAGAAAACCATATCTTAATTATGAGAGACTATTATTTAACTATAAAGGGATCTTTATTTTGTTCCCAGTGAACCTGTCTAATTAATTCTAGCTCTGATTTTTACTGTAAGCTTGCAGGAGAGAAGGTGAGCATGAGGAGGTGTTGTCCATTTAGAATATGCTGTATTGTATCTTTCAAGCCGGAAAACTTCTCTGAAATCAGAACCTCATCTCAGCAAAGGGCATGCTATATTTTAAGCTCATTAGCTCTCCCCACGCTACGTAACAGAAGGAAATATAACCCAAACCACTGAACCACAGTTTCATGCTTCCACATTCTCATATTCAAAAAGGAAAGACAAAAGGAACATATTCTAGACATTATTACACCGTTAGCAAAGTGGAGGAGGAGAAGCTCAACATTATTACTTTTTAATTTATACCAAAAGAAGCGTAACCTTTGCAAAAGATTTTTTTTTCCCTGTAAAATACCTGAATGTGGTTCGGTGCTTGTGTAATTTATAGCAACCCTTCATTTGAAAAATTTCCAAAACCTGCTCAGTTATGGCTGGAGTAAAATCCTGTATATTATTCCAAAAAGAGTATTTCTGAGCAGATGGAGAATTCCTTGTTGTACTGACACATGAAGACATTTGTTCATAATAAAATCCCACTGTGCATTTTAGTTCTCATTCGATCTAATTTTAACAAAAGGTCATAGAAAGAACAACTGAACTTTAAAGATTGCTTCTCTACCTGTACTGATTTGTGCACGGTATGCATAAAACTACCTTAATCTTCCCTGTAAAGAGACAGCTGTAAGAACGCTTCAGAAAATAAGCTTGCCCTCAGGTCTCCACGGAGACAAACGCATGGGGATAAGGCCGAATGGCATACAGTTATGGCCATCTTTAAAAAGCCTGAGAAACACGGTTACTTTTTGACATCATCCAGTCTAAAGCGAGCCTGTGTAACGATGAAGAAACTTGAAAGCAAGCAGGCCTCACTGGCAAGTCCTATTCTATGTCTAAGATGGATAAAACATATTGATTTAGATGACAGCTTCCATATTTTGAGCAACACAAGGTCTGTCATTATCAATTTTACTTCAGCGCTCTCAAAGTATACATGCACAAATAAATCAATGAAGGGTCTCTCTTCTGCCTCAGATGGTGTAAACCCGATAAATTCTGTAATGTATTCTATTTTTAAAGTACACAAGCTACGCAACTTGTAAATGAAGGCAGTTTCCAACACCAGTAAAGACGGACAGAGATTACATCCCACAATTAACTATCATGTACTAAATT